AGGGGCCGGAGTACTGGGAGGGGGAGACGCGGGACATAAAGGCCAGGGCTCAGCGGTTCCGAGAGGACGTGCTCTACCTGCTCGGCCGCTACAACCGGAGCGAGGCGGGTGAGCGCCGGGCCGAGGCGCGACCCCATCCCGCGGGCGGGCGGGGAACCCCAGACCCCGCGTCGGAGCCGCCCCTGAGGCAGGTGGGCCCGCCCTGGCCCGCCCCGGGAAGAGCCCGCGGGGCTTTGCTCCCTGCGGTCAGTTTCGGTTTATTCCCGGGCGGGGGGGGGGGACGGCGAGGCTGAAGCGGGGTGACGCGGACAGGGACAGGGTCTCACACCTTCCAGAACTTGTACGGCTGCGACGTGGGGCCCGACGGGCACCTCCTCCGCGGGTACAGCCGGCACGCCTACGATGGCGCAGATTACCTGACCCTGAGCGAGGACCTGCGCTCCTGGACCGCGGCGGATGAAGCTGATGAGGTGGCTCAGATCACCCGCAGCAAGTGGGAGGCGGGAGGCAGAGGGTTCTGCAGAAACTACTTGCAGGGCACGTGCCTGGAGTCGCTTCTCAGATTCCTGGAAAACGGGAGGGAGACGCTGCAGCGCTCAGGTAAGAGGGACCTTGCAAGGCCTCCGTGGCTTCAGATCTCCCTCAGGCTGACACCCCAGGAGAAAATAGAGTCATGGGCGGCTCCTGAGAGCAATGTTACAATTGCCACAATCTCGCATCACTAATGGGTGGCTGTGCTGTCTGGGCACAATGCTCTCTGCCCCTGTGAGCTGGACTGGACAGTCAATGACGGGTAAGATCAGGAAGTGAGTCCTGACAACCTAAGACAGACGCAGTCCCCGAGGGGATTTTGGTTCCCACCTGTTCATCCGTGTAAAATAACAGGAACAAACAGGCCTGTGAATGATTGAGGCACCACTTAAATATGTTGCCAGTAACTAAGCTCATAATAAAGGAATGTAACCATGGAAACAGATTATAATGCGTGTAGTAAACAAAATAATCAAATATAGAAATAAATATAAGATAAAAAGATATCAATAATAGAAAATACATAATCATAATAATGAATCAGAAGATCTAGAACACACTCCAGCAGGGAAAATAACAGTATGAAATGTTCTTGATTTATATGATTTTGTGAAAGATAATAAGCAATATGTAATGATATGTGTTACGGTGATTACGTATACTTTGATAATGATTAACCAGATTTTGTGCAAAAACAATGAAAGTAATTATAGAGAAAATGTATAAAAAGGAAAGATTGCCTTCAATAAATTGCACTCAGATTTTCACTCTCCCTTGAGTGTGTCTGTGTGTCATTTCTTCTTGTCCCTCGCCCTAAGTCCTTCGACCACCTTTAGCTCATTCTCAATTCACCCTGAGATTGTCTCAATCTCCCGCCACCGCTGGGCTGGTCCGCGGCAATGGTCAGAACACAGACCTCTTTCCGGGGCCTCCCTGGAGGTGCAAGGGGTTAAGCACAGCACCATGTAGATACTGGCAGCCTCTGCAGCATGAGTTCTATTCCTGGCTGGCCAGGAAGGTGACCCACATGGCGCAGCAGACCTCTCCTGTCTCACCTGCTGCTCCCCTCAGCAGTGTATTTCAGTCAATCCGCCTGTTGTCCTTTCGCCTCCCCACCCCCCATCTCTGGCCTGTACCCCAGGTCTTGTATGCATAAATAAATACATCTTAAAAACAAAAAACACAGACCTCTATTTGGTCAGAGAGGGAAGAGACCTCCTGGGTTTCCTGTTCTGTGCTAGAAAGACTCTCCACAGGGCCCTACTTTTTCTGAAGGGATGTTAAGGAATCCAGTCTCTCCTGAGCTGGAGGGGAGGCCATCCCTGACATCACCCTTCATTGGATCACTTTGACCTGGCAGCCATCTTGGGGACCCAGTTTCTCACTATGTCTTGTTTTTGGTCTAATGAACATTTTTCAGATCTGGCTCCTGCTTTTTTGAGTCCCCATGTCAGGAGCATAAGTCTGTGTTCTCCTCCTTAGAGACCTGCATCTTCCTACCCTGAGCTCTTATCCTGATTTACCCATTCTAAGAAACAGATTATCCCAGACTCTCCAGATCAGGAGGGCTTATAGGTTTTGTGCTTCCTCTTCCAAACCCATCCCATTCTGAGGTTGGTCACATGAGGCTGCTTCAGTCTCAGTGAAGGAAAAACCCAAAGTGTAATTGTTCTGACCCTTCTCCTCAGATCCCCCAAGGACACATGTGACTCACCACCCCACCTCTGAGCATAAGGTCACCCTGAGGTGCTGGGCCCTGGGCTTCTACCCTGCGGACATCACCCTGACCTGGCAGTGTGATGGGGAGGATCTGACCCAGGAGACAGAGCTGGTGGAGACCAGGCCTGGGGGAGATGGAACCTTCCAGAAGTGGGCGGCTGTGGTGGTGCCTTCTGGAGAGGAGCAGAGATACACGTGCCATGTACAGCATGAGGGACTGCTGGAGCCCCAAGTCCTGACTTGGGGTAAGGAGGGAACTTGGGAACAGAGCATCTCAGGGACATCAGGAGCCCTTCTGGAGACATTTAGAGGGACAAGGTGAGGCCTGGGGGTCAGAGTCTCACCTTCCCTTCCCTTCCAGTGCCCCCTCCTCAGTCCTCCATCCCCACCGTGGGCATCATTGCTGGCCTGGTTCTCTTTGGAGCTGTGCTCAGTGGCGCTGTGGTGGTTGCAGCTGTGATGTGGAAAAAGAAATACTCAGGTAAGGCCTCCCAGTGGTGCTGTGGGTTGAGCACAACTCTATGAAGCTGTCCGCAGCATCTGCAGTGCGGGTTCCATTCCTGGCCAGCCAGGGAGATTCCCACATGGCATAGCAGACCTCTCCTGTCGCATCTGCTGCTCCCCTCAGCAGTGTATTTTGGTCCTTCTACCTGTTCTGCTCCCCACTCTGTCTGTGCTGAATCCTCTCACCCTCCTGCGCATCTGGCTAGTACCCCAGCTCTTGTATAAAAATAAATAAATCTTAGGCCTCCCCTGGTGGCAGAGGTGGTTGAGCGCCACGCTGTGAAGCTGTCTGCAGACTCTGAAGTATGGGTTCGATCCGGGCCCGCTGGCAAGGGTCCCACATGGCGCAGCAGACCTCTCCTGTCACACCCGCTGCTCCCCTCAGCATGTATTTCGTCAATCTGCCTGTTCTGTTTCCCCGCTCTGCCTCTGGTGAATACTCTCACCTTCCCGCGCATCTGGCCTATACCCCAGTTCTTGTATAAATAAATAAATCTTCAAAAATAAATAAATCTTTAAAAAAAATACTCAAGAAGGAAGTGGGTGGGGGTCTTGTCTACTGGGGGCTTTCAAATCCCAGGTAGAACTTGCCTTACTTGGTAATTGGAAGTACCATCTATATACTGTGTTGCTCAGTCTGGAGCTAATTGCTACTCCTCAGTCTTTTGTAAATCATTTATAAAAATAAATCACCAGGGCCTCCCCGGTGGTGCAGCCGTTGAGCTGCAGTGCCATTTCGATCCCCGGCTGCTCCCCGGCCACCAGAGGAGGGTCCCACATGGCGCGCAGACCTCTCCTGCCGCCCGCTGCTCCCCTCAGCAGTGTACTTCGGTCCTTCTGCCTGCTCTGCTCCCCGCTCTGGCTCTGGTGAATTCTCTCACCCTCCCACGATTCTGACTATACCCAGTGCTTGTATAAATAAATAAATAAAAATTTAAAAAAAAAAAGAGTTTAAAAAAAATAATAAATCACCACTTGTTCACCTTGATCATTCTTGCCAGAGTCTAGCTCTGGTGAACAGGGTTGAGAGAGGAATCTGATTGCACCAAGGAAGTAAAGAAATGACAGACACAAAATAGAGTTTAAGAGAAGCAGGACCCGGGGGACACAAGGCCCCTCATTCATGTTGGAGTGTCCCGAGTGCCTGGTGCAACTCATTTTTATTGCTACAAACCGCCCCCTCCCTCCTGGTTAGTTACTAGGCAATGAGCATTCTCTTGGCATTTAGCCTTGTCCAGGCGCACATTCACGGCCAAGGTTCTGCGCTATCAGGTTATTCTGTTTCTTTTCTAATCTAGTTTGTCCCCCAGACATAGTTTCGCAGACACAAGAAAGAATATCCTGGTCTGTACAAGGGCCAGTCTTTGGACCCGTGCTGACCCGTCTTCCAGCCATGACCCTGATGTTTTCCTTGTCTCAGCACTTTATGCCTTAGGGGGTCTCCAGCAGTTCTGGTCATGGGATCCTGATTCCCAGCAGGAAAGGTCCCTGCTGAAGACAGACTCCAGGAGGTGGTTGCGCTAGTCACCCCTCATCTCCTTCCTTCATATCTCCTGGTCCTGCCTGGGGTTCTCAGGCACAGTTTTGGAAACTTCCCTGTGACCCAGGGAATTCATTTAGGATTTCATGGCCTGACTCATTTGTGGTCTTATAGGATGTTTCTTCCCACAGGTGGACAAGGAGGAAGCTACACTCAGGCTGCAGGTAAGTGCTCATCAGGGGTTTGGTCCTTGAGCCCCTGGGGACAGTGTAGATGGAGCCCAGGGGGGAGTCACCCACATTAGTCCCTCCTGTGGTCTCATCTCTCATGGCTCTGACCATGTTCTGTTTTGTTCTCCCCCAGGCAACGACAGTTCCCAGGGCTCTGATGTGTCTCTCTCAGCCCCTAAAGGTGAGACCCTGGAGACCTGCGGTGGGAGGGACTGGGCCAGAGAGGATGGGACCAAGTGATGGGGAAGCTGTGAGGGGTCATTCTGAGGATGCGGTGGACTATGGAGAAGGTCAACACTTCCTAACTTTGTTCATGATCATTTTCCTTCACAGTGTGAGCCAGCTGCCTTTTGGGGACTGAGTGATGCAGGATTTCTTCTCATCTTCATTTTGTGACTTCAACATCTGCTGCAGACAGGACAGCTGATGAAATTCTCTGCCATTAATGAAGACTCTAAATGAATTCGCAATGGGGGGAGGCTGCGAGAGTGCCGTTAAGAGCAGCTCAGCCTCTCACTCTTCCAGCCCAAGCTTTTATTAAAGACATGAACAAAGGAACAAGAAAATAGCACACAATTGTGTTTGTGTTCATACAGATTATTAAGTTACTGCTGGAACAAGCTTTCCTGATTAGCAGGGAACATGCACACAAGCCAGCCCATCCTTAGAGAACAGGAGTCAGTTCTGGGAAGAAGTTCTGTTTGTGGAACTTCTAACATCCTGGAACTCTGTGTGCAGAGTAAACTGGTGCTCTTCAAATACTCCAGCTCCCTTTGGGCAGCAGACTCCCATAATATCCCCCTTTTTATTTTTAAAGCAAAGTATAACTAGCTTTGGGCCTTCCCTGGTGGTGCAGCGGTTAAGCGCTGGGCTGCGAGGCTGCCCACAGCTTCTGCAGTGCCGGATCAATCCCTGCCCCAGGCGAGGGTCCCACATGGTGCAGCAGACCTCTCCTCTGCAACAATGTATTGCAGCTGTGCCCGTCGTTCCTTTAGCAGTGTATTTCGTCAGTCTGCCTGCTCTGTTCCTCACTCTGGCTCTGGTGAATTCTCTCACCCTCCCGCACTTCTGACTGTACCCCATGCTTGTATAAATAAATAAATAATTTTTTTTTAAAAAAAGTATAATTAGTTTTGGCATAGCCTGTATGACTCTTTTGGTGTGTTTTTTTGTTTGTTTTTTTGTTTGTTCATTTTTTAAAGATTTTATTTATTTGTTTATTTATGCAAGAACCGGGGTATAGGCCAGATGCGCAGGAGGGTGAAAGGATTCACCAGAGACAGAATGGGGAACAGAACAGGCAGACTGATGAAATACACTGCTGAGGGGAGCAGCGGGCGTGACAGGAGAGGTCTGCCGCCCCATGTGGGACCCTCCCCCGCCGGCGGGGATCAAACTGGCACAGCAGATGCTGTGGACAGCTTCATAGCATAGCGCTCGACCCCTTGCACCACCAGGGGAGGCCCTGGTGTGGTGTTTTAAGTGATGCAGCAGCTCCTTTTAAATATGATAAAAGGGTCACTTGTCACGGATCCTGGAGCTCACCTGGAACCCATGTGGCTACCAGCTGTTTTAGTATTAAGAATGTGATATTTAGACTAGATTCCCAATACATCCAATTAATACATTGTTGCAGATAAGAGTCACTACAAGTAACACGATACATGGAATAGGATGCATTATAACTAACATGAACATTTCCTGACAACATATGGATTAAGCACACAGGCAGAATCAAAAATTTTCTATTTTGAAGTTCATGTTCATATGAGTTTGGGTTCCTTTTTCAGGATGCTGTAAGCCTCCCTCACATGTAGGGGTCATTGTACCAGACCCAGCTTTTAGATGGAGTTATGCATAGGCCCGTATCTTAGACTTTACTGTTCCCCAAGTTCTCCTGGTTTCAGATTTTCTCAGTCCCACCAGAGAGAGCATGGCACCAGAGCAGCCTCCAGGGTAGGGGGCAGCTTCAGAGTCTATCCGGCTACTTCCTGCTGGGAGGGGGCGGAGTAGGGCAGGGCAGTGGTGTCCTGTCTGAGCAGGTCTGTCCAGGGGGCCAGTACATAGTGGACTGGAGATACCTGCAAGCTGAAGGTTTGTAGCTTTTAACCTGCAGGAGACAAAACTAACCAAGAGGTTCAGAATGCACAGGACAAAGAGAAGGCAAGCAGGAGTATGGCAAGGGACCAAGCAGGCTGGGAGTGAATTTTGGAGGGTCCTAAAAGGCGAAAAGAAACCATGAGTCTGGATATAAGGGAATACAAAAAAAACCCACATTTTTTAATAAAGTCTGTCCCTCATAGTACTTTGTGTCTACATTTATATATTTATGCAGTGCCTCCCCGGTGATGCAAGAATACCACGGGACTCTCGTTCTTTTTTGTTGGAAAAGGCATATGAATGATTCTAACTTTTTTTTTAAGATTTATTTATTCATGCATACAAGAACTGAGGTATAGGCCAGAGGCCCAGGAAGGTGAGAGGATTCACCAGAGACAGAGTGGGGAGCAGAACAGGCAGACTGACTGAAATACACTGCTGAGGGGAGCAGCAGGGAGACAGGAGAGGTCTGCCACACCATGTGGGATTTGCACCGGCCGCCGGTCAGGATCGAACCAGCACTGCAGAGGCTCGAACTAGCACTGCAGAGGCTCAAACAGGCACTGCAGAGGCTATGGACAGCTTCACAGCACTGTGCTCAACTGCCTGCGACACCAGGGGAGGCCCTGATTCTAACTTTTAAATGATAATGTGAGGCAGTGGGGAGACTGGCCCAGCCCTGTTCACCAGTACCCTCCCCACACTGACCTGTGCTCTCTCCCTGATGACTTTCCTGCTCCAGCAGAGATGGCGCTGACTACATCCCTGCCTGTACTTTGTAGTTCCTGAAGAATAATGTCTACCTGCCTATTGAAGATCATCAGATATGAAATTTTTCTTACCTGGTCATGTGGGACTGTGTGGGACACCTGTTGTCCTTACGGGAGCTGGAGTTTTCTGAGAGCACCTGTTTGCTCTGCATATAGAGTTCCAGGAGTGGTTGGCTATTCAAATGTACTCATTCAGAATTGCCATCTTGGGGTGGAATTGTGAAAGTCATCCCATGGGCAGCTGTGAAGTAATTAAACAAAGGCCAGTAGCCACTTAGGTTCCAGTTGAACTCCAGGAACGGTGGTAAGAGGTCTCTTCTATCACATTCACGCAGGAGTTGCTGCATCGCTTAAAACACTGTCATAGGGTGATGACTGCAGGCACTGCTAGCCTGGCCAGCATCATCGCTGCTGCAGCTGCTGCTGCCATTGCCCCGCATGAGCAGGAGCACGCCTCTGAGTATCTGCAACTTTCAAAAAAAAATTTACAGAAACTTGGAAAAACCAAATCCATGCTGACAAAGAAATCTTGGACTAAATACAGTAATTACAAGATTCTATTTTTTGCTTGGGTAACAGGCTTTGCCAAAGCTAGTTATAGTTACTCTGCTTCAAAAGCATAAAGGGGGATATGTTGGCAGCCTGCTGCCCTAAAGGGCGCTGGAGTTCTCTGAGAGCACCTGTTTACTCTGCACATGGAATTCAGGAGGTTAGAAGTGCTGCAAACAGAAATTTCTTTCCAGAACTGACTCCTGTTCTCTGAGGACATGCTAGCTTGTGTGAATGTTCCCCACTAACTGGAAAACTTGTTTTCAGCAGTAACTTACTCATTCGTATAAGCAAAAACACAATTGCGTGCTAGTTTCTTGTTCTTTTGTTCATATCTTTAATAAAAGCTTGGGCTGTTAGAGTGAGAGGCAGAGCTGCTCTCGATGGCTCTTCCGGGCCTCTCCTGCTGCAAATACATTTAGACTCCGAGTCTTCGTTGATAGCTGAGAACTTCTCATCAGCTGTCTGCGTCAGCAGTGCTGGGTTAATTAGCAGATTCCTAAAATTTGAGATGAAACAAAGAGGAGCCCTGAGGCCCAGCCAGGACTGCAGGTTTGCTGTGCTAAGTCTGTGCAGGTGGGGGCGGGAGAGGCTGTGAGGAGCCAAGGGGGATGGGGCCTGTGTCCAGTCAGTGCTCAGTGCATCATGAGCTTTGACATGGTCACTCCTCAGGGGTCATCTCTCTGTTCCTTTGTCCTTGTCCTTCAGGAGCACCTGTCCAAGCAGGGCCTGTGATCACAGGGACTCAGAACCCCCTGGGCCTGTCCTGTCTCCAGGATGTGGGTGGAGGCTGCATGCAGCTGGGTCAGCCTAGAGTCAGACCAGAGTTGTGTCCTCAGTCTTCATATTCTATGTGTCTATATTTTATTTTGGTTTTTATTTTTCTGTTCATATTTAGAGACCAGGCCTCATGTCCTCTGGGTGTCCCCGTCTCTGACAGCAGCATGAGGCATCTGTCATTGTTCCCACAAGACCCAGGACAATCCCTGCACACAGGAGTCTGGTGTTAGAGATTGGTTTCCAGACTCATCCAGGTTTGGGCCTCATTTTAGACTGTGTTTTGGATAATTCTTTCCATCTTTTCCACATCTTTTTTTAAAGAACCAAATTCTGGTATTAGTAGAGAGGAGGATTAGGTAATTTTTCATCTTAATGTCCTGTTGGGTTTCTGTTTCCTCTACAGCTTCTCCCTCTAACCTTACCCTTAAGCAGCCCTGCCCAGAGTGTGTGGGGACAGGAAGGCTGGCTGCTCCCCAGCATGGTCAGTGTGGGCCTCACGTAGATGACCTTTGAGAAAAAGTGTGATGAACATGTTGCCCACAAGGATGTCCAGGGAAGTTCTGTCCAGGCAGGACCACCTCCAGGGCAAATGCCTGAGGCAGGAATCTGTGTGGCTCAGGGAAAGGCTGCTGGACCAGCGGGTAACTGAGATGGGATCTGTGTGCACGTAGATCATTCAGGCCTCACAGATGTTGAGTGTGACTTTTTTTTTTTTTTTAAGTAAGATTTATTTATTTTTGCATACAAGAACTGGGGTGTAAGCCAGAGATGCTGGCGGGGTTTGACTTTCTGAGTAATGTTTGGGGTGACAAGAGATGACCGGATTTTCTGAACAGAGATGACCTGTGCGATTTCTCTTGAGGAGTCTCAGTCTGGCTGCTGTGCAGCATCGAGGGGTGAGAGGTGGAAAGAGAAATGGAGGAAACCAGTACAGGTCCCAGGACAGAGAGGTTGGTGGCTTTGTTGGGGGAGGGGGAGGAGAGCAGGGAAATAACAGGCAGTGATAGGATCTGTGTGTATTTAGAGATGGACTTTACAGCATTTCTTACTGCTGGGCTGTAAGAAAGGGGTCAAGGATGACACTCAGTGTTTCAGACTGTGCAGGCAGTGGTGGAGCCTGCAGTGACATGGGGAAGACCCCAAAGAACCATGTGTGGGCATCCTTGGTCTTTAATTTAGGAAAGCTGAAGCTAAGATCTATTAGAAATGAAAGTGAGGTTGGCAATTGGACAGACAAGTCTGGAGAAGAGATGAAATATCTGAGCTAAGAAATAGACCTGGGAGGTGATAGGATGTGAATGATGTTTGAAGACTTGAGCTTGGTAAGTTCCCCCAGGGAGAGATGACTCAGGAAAATAAAGGAGCAGGTTAAACCCCAGAACCCCCAGTGATGAGCAATCTGAGCAGATACCCCCTAGAGCTGACTGCACTCTCTGACACCATGTGGAGAAGACACGGAGACTAGGGAGCCCCCACTTCAGTGAGCACAGAAATCACCTGGATGCTAGAAGGTCTAGAACAGTGTCTCGGATTCTATTATTTGATTCCTTTCCTCACCCAGGAATGGAGAATTTAGGGTTGATTCCCAGGAGAAGACACTTCATCCCTGGAAGCAGGAACACATAACAGGGACTCAGGAGCCCAAAATTTCATCCAAAGAGACTGAGGGAACCTGTATACAAGAGGGACTCACCCAGAATCTGGGAACCAGCTATTATGACCTGGAGACGTGGCTCTTCCCTGAGGTCTATGTGCACAGCCACTCCCTAGGGAGGAAGTTTGAGGACAGGACGCCTAACCTGACAGTGGACCTGTCCTGCCGCTGGGGGCCCAGGGAGCCTGGGGAGGGCCTGGCTGAGCAGGAGAAAGGGCGGCTCTGGTCTCCTGTGCTCAGCCC